TGAGAGCCAGAAATCTTGCTTGTTTGTAGGTGACCAAATACTTATTTTCCACCATAATTTGCAAATAAATTCATTAAAAATCCTACAATGTGATTTTCTGGATTTTTTTCCTCAATTTGTCTGTCATAGTTGACGTGTACCTATGATGAAAATTACAGGCCTCTCTCATCTTTTTAAGTGGGAGAACTTGCACAATTGGTGGTACTTTTTTCCCCCACTGTACGTATGAAAAGTGTATAACGTAGTTTACTACCTATCATAATTGCTGTGTGTCTGTGTGTGTGTGTGTGTGTGTGTGTGCCTGCCTGCATGTGTGTGTGACTTTCTCAGGTTGGGGGATGACTTGCGTGTGTGTGTGGCTGACTTCGGCCTCTCCAAGAAGATCTACAGCAACAACTACTACAGGTAGACGTTGGCCTTCCGCATGCCGGTCAAGTGGATGGCCATAGAGAGTCCATCTTTACCAGCAAGAGTGTCATGGTAAGTCACACCTGACTCGGATGACTAAGAGATCACTGGCATGACATCTGACTAACTCATAAGTAGTGCCAGAAGTTTTCCCTGACCATGTGACCTGACCAGGAAAAACTATTGGTCCTACTAATTAGCTAGCAGAGGCTGATCATAAAGAATGCATGTTTATAATAGCTGTAATAATGTAAATTCATGTTTGAATTGAAGAAAGCGTGTATGTGTGCGTGCGTGTGTCTGTGTCCCTCTACTACAGTACTATTTGGGGTCACAATGTGGGAGATAGTGTCCAGGGGAAGGTCACCGTATCCTGGGGTCCACAACTATGAGCTCCTGGAGCTGCTGAATACTAGACACAGACTCAAACCACCTTAGTGTGATAACAAACTGTGAGTCCTCACTTTATTCTAGTCTAGTTTAGTTGTGTGACCTCACATGTTATGGAATCACATGTTATGTTATGTAGCTCAGTGCATGTTCACAACAGCTGATGCTAGTTTTGTGACCATAGATACTGTAGCCATTAGCCACTGTTTACAATGTAATGTGTGAGTGCAATAATTCATTGAGAACTATGATTTATATTATATTTAAATGAATATACGTTAACATCTTTTTGCACCAACGTTCACACACATCATTTGCTGTATTTAGTGATTCACACAGTTTTCAGCTTGGGCCCCGTTTGTAAGTAACGTGCTGCTGGTTTCTCCCCTTAATATTTTTTGGCTACCTTCTGGACCGCCTCTGTATTCTGCAGCCCTTACTAATTGAATCAATGAGAGCCTTATTGGCACAACAGGCTGTAACTGAGTGTTGAGCATGGACACAGAGGTGACATTGTCTGTGTAATGAATCATATGTTCCCCCTGCCTCTCTCTCTCCCCCTCTCTATCTCAATCCATCTTCCTTTCCATCTTTCTGCTACTGTTTTGTCTCACTTTTCTTTTGTTCTTTCTTTCTTTCTTTCTTTCTTTCTTTCTTTCTTTCTTTCTTTCTTTCTTTCTTTCTTTCTTTCTCTCCCCTTTTCACTTCCTTTCTGCACTCTCTGACTTATTCCTCTCCCTAACTTTCTATCTCATCTCTCTCAAACTCCCTACATTTCTATTCTTCTCCCCCCCCCACAGGTATGAGGTGATGCTGAGTTGTTGGCACAGGCAACTGGGACAGAGGCCTGGTTTCAGGGAGCTTGGGGAGAGGCTGAAAGCCCTTCTGTGTGAGCTGCCACCGATGGAGGCCAGCCAGGAGGCCCACTACATCAACCAGGGCCTGGAGGCTGCCAACGGGGTGCCAACGGACACGACGGACACGGTGGCCTCGATTTCGAGGGGGGCGCGGTAGGGAATGTGTGCCTGCCCACCCCTGTGGGGGTTGGGGCTACTGCTAAACCTCCACCCAAGAAAGAGGAGGAGGACTCACCCAAGGAAGAGAAGGAAGAGGGAAGGATATCTGTTGGGTTTTAAAAGTGGATCTGCTGTGAAGACAGGGGATAAGAAAAGAGCTGTGGGTGTTTTATAGATGCTTGGGGGAAAGATAAGCTACTCTTTAAAGCCTGCTCTGGTGTTTTTGTGTTTCAGTCAGTTTGGTGTTTTATGTTCTGTCAGCTACAGTTATGACCTACAGTAATCCAAGCGTGCTTGAATGTATTTATTATGTGGTTAGATATCAGTGCACAAATCAACATATCAAACATCGATCAATTCAAATCACTTTAACACTTTTATATGTACAGTATCTCTCTCTGTGTGTGTGTGTATGTGTATTGCAGACAGATTACAACAGCTGGGCATTACTAGCCTAACGACCCACACTAAATTATTCCGCTGCTCTGTCGTTCACTACATACTTTAGTCTGAGACTGCCATCATTGAAGTCATTTGTGGTGGCGAAGTGCATGAGAGGCGTTGTACAGAACAAAGTCATCAGCGATTGGATCTTCTCTAACCAATCAGACTATCAAAGCCAATGACACATTTTCAAACTGCCACTTTACCCATGTGTGTTCTGGCTCTGGCCCATCCATTGGTTTCTGGACCAATCAGAAGGCCTGCATGTGTTCACATTCGGTGAAGGGTCGGGGAGGTACTGGGCGGATTTGATTATGCTGAACCTCAGGGCACCGGTCTATGGCCCTTGACATGAACAGGCAAAAGCGGTGAGGGAGGAGCACCCTTCTAAATTCTAACAGTAATCTGCGCTGCTAGGTCATGTTGTGAAAATACCAGCATGGTGCATCATCTAGAAACATACATCTCTTTTCCATAAAATATATGTTTGAATTTTCAAACTAGTTTTCATTGGGAAGGCAGATAAAGCGTTTTTATCAAAAGCAATCACTTTTGCATGTGAAAACACAGAATCCTACTCATTACTCCACGTGCTTAATTACATCACTTTTGTTTTGAGCTGACTTTGCCACAGGCTTTGAATTGGGCACCTGGCTCCAAAACGAATGTAACCAACTTTCACCAGGTGTAAAACACGCCTAGCTGGGCGCAAGGGATTAATCGAATCCCCTCACTCAGATGCAGACTCATTGCGTTGAAGGAGAAGAAACTAACTCCTTGGGCGTGGAGTAGCGTTTGGCCAGAGCAAGGAGTCTGGGTAGCCAGGCAAGGGCATTACCTTCTCTACCACAATGTTTGTCCAACTTGAATGTTTAATAAAGTTGTTTACTTTTTTATAATGAACATTGTTTTGGGGATTTCTTTGAAACCCATAATTACATAAAAGTATTACTTTTACCTTTTTCCATTGAATTCAAATGTCCATGACGAAAGCGTGATATTTTGCACCAATACAGTGTATCAATAGATTTATGCGTATAAAAGAGGTGTGTCCCCCATGTCTAGGTAGACTTTGAACTACAACTCCCAGCATTCAGACCCATTCTAGATTTGTCCGTAGTGCCACGTCATTTGATGTCACTGCCGCACCTGCGCAGCCATCTTGTACTTCGAGCGAGGAGCGGACACAGAAAGATAGAAAAAGGAGAAGGTAAACCTGTCAAATCAGACGAAAATAGGAATGTCTGTAAACGTTATATAGTCTCATAACGATTAGACAGCCAAGAAGGACAAGGGGAGTTAGAAAATACGGTGAAAGACATCCAAGTCCCTCGGATATTCAGACCTACAAGTCATCTTTTGCCTGTGAAAGCGGAGTGAGAGAGAGAGGAAGGAACAGTGAAATCGCCGACAGAAACATATCCCGAACGTCAGTCAAATCATGAATCCAGAATAGTGAGTAGACTCATCGCCAACACAACCACTAGTATATTTTACACTCACTTGCCTTTTGTAATGTCACATGCATAGATCGAACATGTTGTTTTATTGTAGTAGGGCGCGGGCAATTCCATAAATGTGAGTCTCGAGCGTTATTTAACTAGATATTCAGCCAACGTCAGCTGATCTCTTGTTCGTGCCACATAGTCAGCTAACGATATCTAGCTTGGTAGCATACGTTTTACATAAAACTAGCTAGCTATCATGTCATTGTTATCAGTATTGTCAATGCACATAACTAATTAATCCCTCAAACATCTGTCACTTAAATGTGGCCCTGAAATGAGAGGACACGCGCGTGAATCCCCTGCTCTGTGGCGTGTCGACCGGAGAAATAGGACGTGGTGCTGAAACGTCACACCGGCGCACTAATTTACAGTAACATAGCTGTCTTACTGCCTATGGAGATCTAGCTAACAAACAGCAATGCTTACTTTGAGATCACTTTGTCAGAAACAAACACACACCCTCCGTTATGTGATGGAACTCTCTTCTTTGTCTCTAACGTTAGTTAGCTAGCTAACTAACGTTATGTTAGGGCCAAAACATAGGTTGCTACTAGCTAACTATACGAATAGATTGGACATGTGCCGGGTGATAGTAATTTAGCCAGCACATGACGTCTCGGTACATAGCAAGCCTATGGACGCCGACCCAGAAACCATAGGTGATGAATTATTGTTGTAAAAGCCTCTGTGAATACTTATCTTCGTGAATGTAGTTGTGTGCGTAGAAGACATCGCCACATCACAACAAAGTCTGCGTTTGGGGAAGAGATTGCCACATACATACACCCAGTGTTAGTTTCCATAGCATGGAGGTGCTTTGGCAGAAAAACGTGACACATCTCGATTTCAGTAGACACAAGAATAGCTCTGTCATTGCGCCACTTCTGTGCAGTGGAAGTGTGTCAAATGCATGTGACCTTGTTTTGCTGAGAGAGTTGATGTGAAAGTACTACACCATAATATGTACTTACTCACAAACATTTCTGAGAGTTCCATATCAGTGAATGAGTTCACCATGTACTGGCCGTGACCCTGTCCTATGTAGAAGTAGTTGCTTGAACACAACTTGATATTGGTCAATCAGTTGGTTGCCTCAGGAGTGTCTTTCCCCACACTTTCTCTCTGTTGGGCCTTAGATAGCCTACAATTCTAGGATATCTATCCTAAGAAGAAATTGACGCAACATAACATCAGTAGGGCTTATTACTGGAGTTAAGTAGCAACACTGTTTAGAATGTCTAGTCTTTGGTCTAATGCTGGATGCTTTCATTTCAGTGACTACCTGTTCAAGCTCCTCCTTATTGGTGACTCCGGTGTGGGAAAGTCCTGTCTTCTGCTCCGGTTTGCTGTAAGTATAGTTACCGTATACTATGACTGTACACAGTTATTTAGTAAGTGTCGTTCAGGTGCCTTTTTTCAAAATGCAGCTTCCAGAATCTGTCTGACTGTTCTCTCTCTCTTTCTCGCTCTCTCTTCTGCCCTCTGTCACTCCCTCCCTTTCTTCAGGATGACACCTACACAGAGAGCTACATCAGCACCATCGGCGTAGACTTCAAGATCCGCACCATCGAGCTGGACGGCAAGACCATCAAACTGCAGATTGTGAGTCTGACACAATGAACACTGCAGCATGCCTCCACCCACACCACAAATAAGAAGTGGCTGTTAGGAATGCTTAATTTTAATTGGAAAGCTTAGCCCCAGCTATTGCTATGATGACTAACACTTGAGGTTTTGCACCGCTCCCAGCTGTGTGCGTGTGTGTGATCTATTATAGTGTAATAGGATACTGTTTTGGTAGGAGAAAAGGCTGTACCATTACAAACGGATACATCTGGTAAAACAGGAGGAGCGGCTCCCCCCGCCTTCACTCCAATAGTGGCGCGGCCCAACTCCTGATTTTATAAAGGCTTGATTTGATAAACGGTTCAGTAACCTAGTTATGTTGCTTAGTTTTACGTCCTGTGTTTGCTCTGTAGTTTAACACCTCGCCCTAAGGCTAATCAACAGGCCTGGGATCCAGTTCTGTTCCCACCATGCCTCTTTAGATGCAAGGAGAGGAACTATAGATGTTAGTGTGGTATTCTAATGACCATAGATACCTAACTAGTGCTATTCCAAATGCTTTAAGGACAGGAATTAATGGAACTTGGGTGATGACAGGTGTGTGTTTAGTTATTAAAATTAGCCTGTTTTGTTTGATTGTGATTAAACAACTCTCTCCCCTCCCTCTCTCTTTTGTCGTTCTCCACTCCCTCTCTTCCAGTGGGACACTGCTGGTCAGGAGAGGTTCCGCACCATCACCTCCAGTTACTACAGGGGGGCCCACGGCATCATCGTGGTCTATGATGTCACAGATCAGGTGGGTTATTAGTTCAAGGGGGGATCTATGCTTAGACCTAGGCTTAATACTCTATTGTGTATTTTTTTTAAAATCAAATATTGTACTTCCCAAGTTCTTTTGACTTTCAAAAATGATGTTTAGCCCCCTAGAGTCGATGTCTGCGTCCTCGCGGAAATCTAATTGGCATAATAAAAACACCCCATAATAATCTGTCAGTTTAAGCTAGAGATATGTTTTTTTTTGCATTGGATGCATCTCAATCCACCGCATCTGCCAATGTTGCACTTCCGCATCTGCGGTGAAAGTTGACACAAAGCTTGTCAGACCATGAGACGTCCCGAAAATCAGTCTTCTCACAAAATCAACTGTAGCGTCCGAACGGTTTCGCCCACAGGCCTCACAAGACTCATCTGAAGGTCCCCGTTGTACCAGTTGAAAAAATGAATGGAAGTATATATGGAGACTGTTTAGTGCCAGAAATAAGGGGTTAAATACATGTCAAAAAAATTTAATGTTTCCTGATCTTTATATCGCAGATATAGAACAGACACCTCAGAACAAACTTCCTTTAGATTTCTTTTGGGGCTATCTGTTGTTCCATGTAGTGACTGTGTTATTCAATGCATTTGTATGGGCTAATAGCAGTAAGGACAAATAAAATGTTTAAACAAATATTTGTTAAATATTTTTTGGGATACTTCAAGGGGTCTTACATTTCAAAATCAAATATCAAAATGATCCTTCGTATGACCTTCTTAAAACAATTTCATATAGCTTAGTAGAAAAGCCTTAGACAGGGCTTAGACTCTTACGGGTAAAAATCCCTAAAAATGGCCACTGTTTCTCACATGCCTGTAGGATAGGCAGCCATACACTGTGTGACTAAACTAATTCTGTCCTGTGTGCTGTAGGAGTCATACAACAACGTGAAGCAGTGGTTACAGGAGATCGACCGCTACGCCAGCGAGAATGTCAACAAGCTGCTGGTGGGGAACAAGTGTGACCTCACCACCAAGAAAGTGGTGGACTACACAACAGCCAAGGTATGGCTACAGGGGCATTTCTATGATTTGAGGACATTGGGGGCTTACCCCAAAGCCAGAGGGGGAACCCTAGTAGAGTGTTGCAACCGAGGACAGGTGATTTTTACATCCTACGTGCTTCAGCACTCGGCGTTCCCGTTCTGTGAGCTTGTGTGGCTTACCACTTCGCGGCTGAGCCGTTGCTGCTCAACTTACAGTTGACCGGGGCGGCTCTAGCAGGGCAGAAATTTGACAAACTGACTTGTTGGAAAGGTGGCATCCTATGACGGTGCCACGTTGAAAGTCACTGAGCTCTTCAGGAAGGCCATTCTACTGCCAATGTTTGTCTATGGCGATTGCATGGCTGTGTGCTCGATTTTTATACACCTGTCAGCAACGGGTGTGGCTGAAATAGCCGAATCCGCTAATTTGAAGGGGTGTCCACATACTTTTGTGTATATATAGTGGCTTGCGAAAGTATTCACCCCCCTTGGCATTTTTCCTATTTTGTTGCCTTACAACCTGGAATTAAAATTGATTTTTGGGGGGTTTGTATCATTTCATTTACACAACATGCCTACCACTTTGAAGATGCAAAATAATTTTTTTTGTGAAACAAACAAGAAATAAGACACAAAAACAGAACTTGAGTGTGCATAACTATTCACCCCCCTAAAGTCAATACTTTGTAGAGCCACCTTTTGCAGCAATTACAGCTGCAAGTCTCTTGGGGTATGTCTCTATAAGCTTGGCACATCTAGCCACTGGGATTTTTGCCCATTCTTCAAGGCAAAACTGCTCCAGCTCCTTCAAGTTGGATGGGTTCCGCTGGTGTACAGCAATGTTTAAGTCATACCACAGATTCTCAATTGGATTGAGGTCTGGGCTTTGACTAGGCCATTCCAAGACATTTAAATGTTTCCCCTTAAACCACTCAAGTGTTGCTTTAGCAGTATGCTTAAGGTCATTGTCCTGCTGGAAGGTGAACCTCCGTCCCAGTCTCAGGTTTCCTTCAAGAATTTCCCTGTATTTAGCGCCATCCATCATTCCTTCAATTCTGACAAGTTTCCCAGTCCCTGCTGATGAAAAACATCCCCACAGCATGATGCTGCCACCACCATGCTTCACTGTGGGGTTGGTGTTCTCGGGGTGATTAGAGGTGTTGTGTTTGCGCCAGACATAGCGTTTTCCTTGATGGCCAAAAAGCTCAATTTTAGTCTCATCTGACCAGAGTACCTTCTCCCACATGCCTTTTGGCGAACACCAAACGTGTTTGCTTATTTTTTTCTTTAAGCAATGGCTTTTCTTCTGGCCACTCTTCCGTAAAGCCCAGCTCTGTGGAGTGTACGGCTTAAAGTGGTCCAATGGACAGATACTCCAATCTTCGCTGTGGAGCTTTGCAGCTCCTTCAGGGTTATCTTTGGTATCTTTCTTGCCTCTGATTAATGCCCTCCTTGCATGGTCTGTGAGTTTTGGTGGGCGGCCCTCTCTTGGCAGGTTTGTTGTGGTGCCATATTCTTTCCATTTTTTAAATAATGGATTTAATGGTGCTCCGTGGGATGTTCAAAGTTTCTGATATTGTTTTATAACCCAACCCTGATCTGTACTTCTCTACAACTTTGTCCCTGACCTGTTTGGAGAGCTCCTTGGTCTTCATGGTGCTGCTTGCTTGGTGGTGCCCCTTGCTTAGTGGTGTTGCAGACTCTGGGGCCTTTCAGAACAGGTGCATATATACTGAGATCATGTGACACTTAGATTGCACACAGGTGGACTTTATTTAACTAATTATGTGACTTCTGAAGGTAATTGGTTGCACCAGATCTTATTTAGGGGCTTCAAAGCAAAGGGGGTGAATACGTATGCACGCACCACTTTTCCGTTATTTATTTTGTAGATTTTTTTTTAAACAAGTTATTTTTTTTCATTTCACTTCACCAATTTGGACTATTTTGTGTATGTCCATTACATGAAATCCAAATAAAATTCAATTTAAATTACAGGTTGTAATGCAACAAAATAGGAAAAAAGCCAAGGGGGATGAATACTTTTGTATCAAACAAATAAGCTGATAGCGGTCTGCGAGAAGCATATTTTATTATAATTTTTTCACCCCAATTTCGTGATATCCAATTATGATCTTCTCTCATCGCTGCAACTCCACAACGGGTTCGGGAGATGCGAAGGTCGAGTCATGCGTCCTCTGAAACATGACCCGCCAAACCGCGCTTCTTAACAACCGCCCGCTTAACCCGGAAGCCAGCCGCGCTAATGTGTTGGAGGAAACACAGTTCAACTGACGACCGAAGTCAGCCTGCAGGCGCCCGGCCCACCACAAGGAGTCGCTAGAGTGCGATGTGCCAAGTAAAGCCGCCCTGGCCAAACCCTCCCCTAACCCGGACGATGCTGGGCCAATTGTGCGCCGCCCTATGGGACTCCCGGTCACAGCCGGTTTTTACACAGCCTGGAATTGAACCCGGGTCTGTGGTGACGCCTCAAGCAAAGAAGATAATATCTCAGGTAAAATGTATCATATCTTTTGAATGGTTTAGGCGCACACGGTTTTCAGTAAAGTAATAGCGAAACCATGACCGTCACAGTGCTGTGCTCAGTTTTTCCCCATGGCATACTGCCAGGCTTGTAAATTATGCACCGTTATGGAAACTCATATCAGGCGTACAGCCTGCAATTTCGAAATTATTCATCCATCAAAAGGTTTGAGGCACTACACAAAACAATTAAGTAGCTAATGTCGTTGTTTTGAGTACTCGATATCTCTAGAATCTATTTCCTAATCAATGTGGGAATACAACATCGAATTGGCTCTTGAGGGGATCAATAGCATAATATTGGATCTTTAACTTATTTAACATTTTTATTAGTGCATTTTCAACTCAGACAAAATTACAGACCATACTTTTCACAATGAGACACTTCGTACAATACCCACATTTTTTACCTTTTGTCGCTCTGTGCAGCATCAAATTGTTTTATATTTAATGAACATACTACCTTTTTTTTTAAACCATGGACAATACATTACCTTTTATGTTTTATATCTATGTTTAACCCTATTTATTCTGTCCCTGTCTGCTGCCTGCAGGAGTTTGCCGACTCCCTGGCCATCCCCTTCCTGGAGACGAGTGCCAAGAACGCCACCAACGTGGAGCAGGCCTTCATGACCATGGCTGCTGAGATCAAGAAGAGGATGGGACCCGGGGCCACGGCCGGAGGGGACAAGCCCAACCTGAAGATAGACAGCACCCCAGTCAGACAGTCTGGCGGGGGATGCTGTTAAACCGGACTCTGTTCTGGATGCTCACCTCCTCCCTTCCCTCTCTGCCCGGGGCTTCACCTCCTCCACCTCTCCATCCTCCACTCTTCATCCCTCAGCCTCCCTCCCATCTCCATCCCCCTTTCTTTCACCCTACAGAGAACCACTGGGAACAGGGTTGAGCGAGGGATGGGTGGTCAGGTAGAGGGAGAGGTTGAGAGAAAGGGATAGAGGGGAGGAGTTGAAGGGCTACAACTGGGGACTGACTTGAAGACTATCTCCCCTAAAAAGGTGAATGGGGAAATTTGTTTTATTTTTTCTTTCATTTTTGCTGAGCGATGAGGTAGGAAGGTAAACATATATGAGAAAAGATTGGTATTGATTTAGAGGGGGACTGGGTGATAGAAGATTAGGTTTTAGATTCTGCCGAGCGCTTATCTCTCACTCTCACACACACACACACATACACACACACACATTGAAAGTGGGTCGTGGGTCAGAGTGATTCTCCCATTCGCGATAGTCACAGGTATGGGTCTCTCTTTCCTTCAGTCTGTCTTTCATTGCAACCCAGTGAAAGTCATATAGCAAAATTAAGTTTAGTGTGCTACGATAGTCTGTCGTCTGTCTATTGGGCCTATTTTATCTCAGACTGTTGGGGTGCCTTGTCATCTTAAGTCTGTCTACAGCATAGAGTGAGTCACGTGCACCATCTGGTCCACGTTTTATGCTTCAAATGCAATAGTAACACTCATGTATTCATGAGTGTCTGTCCATCCGTTGTACAAACTGAATTGGCATTGGGGCAGAAAGCAGACAGTTGTGTGCCACTGCCAGCTTACTAACATTCTAGTGAGGTGGTGGTGAATCATCAACGTTATTAATGTATGAGGATGCGGGATGCCCATTCGTTGTGCTTTCCCCCAACCACCTCTAATCGTTCGCCTTTTCTGACTGAATGAATGCATCAGCAGATCTGGGCGAGAGGAGAGACTCATACACTGCAGTCAGTGTGAAGAGGGTATTCTGGGGGTGGTGGGACTTCTCGTAGACCGTGAGATTTCAGTTGATTCGACACTCCTTGCAGATAATGAGAGCTTTTGGTCGAACTTGGAATCACTCCAATCCTCCTCCCTCCATCCCTCTACATGCAGAAGGGAGGATGTAGTGAGAGAGAAAGGGAGAGAGTGAGATACTATTTTTTTGTTTTGTTCTGTAATATATGGTGTTAGTTAGCCCACATCACTTAGGATTTCACATATTAAAGAATAAGAATAAGAAAAAAAAAAAAATATATGTGAGATCTGCTTAGGTCATGTTTGTATGTCTTTAAGTTGTCATGACACTATATATGACATTATAAACTTGGTGGTTCGAGCCCTGAATGCTGATTGGCTGACAGCCGTGGTATATCAGACCATATACCACGGGTTTGACAACATTTATTTTTACTGCTCTAATTACGTTGGTAACCAGTTTATAATAGCAATAAGGCACCTCCGGGGTTGTGGTATATGGCCAATATACCACAGCTAAGGGCTGTGTCCAGGCACTCCGCGTTGCGTCGTGCATAAAACAGCCCTAGCCGTGGTATATTGGCCATTTACCACACCCCCTCGGGCCTTATTGCTTAAATATACCTATTGCTTAAATAAGGTGGTTCTTCAACATACACAGATAGTACACACACACACACACACACACACACATAACGGGGCATGACATAGTACTAGATTAGGGGCGGGCGTAGATAGGGGCTTGGGCAATGCAACCGATATTCAGCAACGAATTAATAGGACATTGCTCTGACACCACAAATTGGCAATATCCTACATTTTGTGTTCATCTTAATAGATTATTATTAATATTGTTTCATTGGTATTATTGCAATGAATTTATTTGATATTGTTATTTTCTGTATAATTTTTTTCCAATCGAAAAAGCTTGTACAAATTGCTTGAAATGCTGTCAAACTTACATTATTGGGTGGGTGGGTTGGGATGTTGTTTTGTGGTTGTTGCTAGGGTTGACCGGGTCGGGGGAGTTTGTCTATGAAAGCTACCGTTCCCTCCTGTGCCTTACTGGACTCTTTAAGATACTGACCACATGCATAACTTGTGTTGCATGTCACAGTCACACCACAGGTTCTTTGTCTTAGCCATGACCGACTTCTCAGACCGTGTTTCCTTTGTCGTCACGTGTCCCACAGTGCATTTCCTTAATGGTTGTCATGGTTTCATGTCAGTTAGTGTGGTTAAGCAGCGTAGACAGTCCGTCACGGTTTAAACAGCCCAAGAGGTCCTGACCTAGCTAATTATGTTCAAGAGCACATGACCACATGTCAACTCATTACCTCAGATGCTCTCTCTTTACATCAGTGCGTGAATGGTGTTCTTCAATCTTCATCATTGTCAACTGCTGGTTCCTGTAGCCTCTATATAGACTTAAGACATGAAGTGTTTGGCGGGTCAGAATGTGTGTTAATGGTTCCGGCTGTCCTGATTTCCCCCTCCTACCGTAGCCTGCCTGCGGCGTTCCCTTCCCAGTCTGCCCGCATGGTTCTCATGGCAGTGTGTTATTTTTCAGCTGCATTCCTATGGAACTATGGAGCCTCGCAGGAATGTGGAGAAAACCGTCCAACCCCTGACCTTAACCAATCCTGGTTTTTAATTGAATGCACTGCAGTACAGGGAACAAGGCCTCTAAGCTTTGATGTTTTCGACAAACAAAGACTATTGGCCTTCGTTGATTATTACAACCTCCGTTTTCAACCCTTTTTTTCAAGACAGTTTACAACTGTAGAATTAGGCATGGTTACAATGGCACTTTGGGAAGATCTATTCTCTGGCTTTGTTGGGAACCAGGACTAGACCTAAAGATGTGACAGCACTATAGTGCGCCTGTATGTGTGTGGAATCGATACGCAGAAAGTGATATTCCTTTTGTTCTCATGGTTTCCCCTTGTCTTGGTCTTCACAGTCTGAAATCGTCCAGTAGTGAGTGTGTAACAGTTCTAATCTTGTACCTGTATAGCTTTATAACTATGTAAAGTGCAGGCAGAGAGGTTCTTACTCTAAAGACAACTATACAAGCATGTTATGGTCATGCTATATGGTCATCGAGCCTGGTTCAGGATGTTCAGTTTGGCTTCTTTGGGTTTGAGCATGTTACGGTCATAGAGCATGGTCGCGGTCCTAGATTCTGGTTCATTGGGTTGAAGTGTTCGACTGTGCTTGAGCGTTCGGGGTTAAGAGGGACTGACTGGTCTTGGCATGCAGACCGGATATGAACTCCCATCAACCTCCCCTTAAAGCCAATCCATTTATTAAAACTCACAGAATCCAACAATGTTCTCTGACCGGTTCCAACGACTCATCATTGATAACGGAATCTCGCTTGGACTTCGGGAGCATTCCTGGTGTTCCTGGTTGGTCTTTGAGAGATAGTTGAAATTCCTCAGCACTTAAGGTGGCACGGCCTTGTCCTCCGGGCTCAGAGCTCCAGGTAGTGATGTATGCTATGCATTCCCCATGCAATTGCAAAGTGCAATTTCAGCCTCTACAAACTGATGTCCAATTAATACTGATGAGTTAGTGAGCTCTTGCTGTCTGCAGCATATGGCTACCAACCAGTCTATGGCATTCATGTCTAGAAGAGTGATGTGAGGGCAGAATGCAGTATCTGATGATTTAAGTGTGAACAGCAGGTTTAGAGAAGGCGTGACTCTTTATATGTGGGGTAGTAGATACAGTAGCCATCTTAGCACTCGTCTTTTTAGTAGAGGCCTTACAGATGGGGTTTAGCCTACTGTTCCTACCCTGTGACACAATGCAAGACTCAACTGGGCTGGATTGTGCCGGCTCATTTTACACTTAGGCAGTTTGGTGTGATGAATTTGAGAATGTGGTAGTAATCAGCAGACTCACAGGTAGGAGGGGAGGGAACAGTAGTAAGGAGGTGAGGGGGGCGGGTGGAGATGGGGTTGGGGTTTGTGTGCGTAACATTCCTGCTTTCTGAACACAGGCTGGCTTTCTGGCTTTTCCCTCAAATCTTACATGAGTCCTTTTGCGAATTAAACGATTGTTTGAAACGCTCCACAAACAGACACATGCACACTTGGTCACACAGACACGCTAAAATGGACTTTTCACGCCATAACAGCGCAAGTCTCCTTTTGAATTGTTCTGAATATGCTTTTTCCTTCCAAGAAGTCTTCATAGTCTACTGATTTTTAATATATGAATTGAAAATATACTGTGGTAATGTTGTGTCCGGTCCATCGAAGGATAAAAGGGAGGGGCAACACATGGGTGGAGTTAGGGGTGAGCTTTGGTTGGGTGCTTACTCTGAATGGGATTATGATGGAACTACAATCTTGCTAGAATCCCTAGAATGGTTTTCCATGTCATTATCACACTTGTTTGTTGCTCTCCCATGGCTTAATAAAGGAACACACGTTGTTCTTTAATACCGAGCACAATACAGGTACTCTCCTGACTGTCGGCACTTTTTCTTTTCTGTTTTCTTTTCTGTCACACTGCTGATTTTGATCATGTTTTTTTTCTGTACATATTATAAATATATATATATATATATATAATAAAAAAGATCAATGTCAACATGGGTGAACTATCTCTTATTTCCCCCATGTACTGTGTATGAATATCAGTGCACTGGTGTGTGAATGTGTACATGTTGTAAGTGTGTTTATCTCCCGAGTGGCGCAGTGGTCTAAGGCAGTGCTAGCTGTGCCACTAGAGATCCTGGTTCGAATCCAGGCTCTGTCGTTGCCGGCCGTGACCGGGAGACCCATGGGGCGGCGCACAATTGGCCCAGCGTCGTCCAGGGTAGGGGAGGGAATGGCCGGCAGGGATGTAGCTCAGTTGGTAGAGCATGGCGTTTGCAACGGCAGGGTTGTGGGTTCGATTCCCACGGGGGGCCAGTATGAAAAAAATAAAATGATAATAATGTATGCACTCACTAACTGTAAGTCGCTCTGGATAAGAGCGTCTGCTAAATGACTAAAATGTAAATGTAAGGACAAGTCCATGTCAGCTAGTGTCTCCTCTGCACTAGCCTGAATCACCGCCGGGGGGGCCAGAACACATCCAGAATCTGCTATCTGCTCTAACATTGAGACAATGGGGCCTGTCATCTCTACTTTGTCTTTGATTTGTATCCTCCACACACACAAATAAATAAACATTCAGACAGAAGAAGACCCAGACAGCTTCTCATCTAAAGGTGTACTCTACTCTAACACTGCATGAGAATGATGGAATTAGTTCAATATGGAGATGCTTCAAATGGAATACTTCACATTGAATATTGCTGGGGAGTGTTTGCGCTGTGGGCAGGGAAATGCTGGCTCTTTTTTTATTCAGTCTAATATAAAGTACTGCAGACATCCCTCTTAGGACTACTGCTGCAGTCGGCACAGTGTCTGCAGTTAGAAGACCCTCTCAGCAAAAACATACCAGCTAATCCCATTCTAACGCTATCTGCATCACATAATGATAAAGCTACTTTTAGTAGGGCAATCTAGAAGTCATTACAATGGAGAATTGCAGTGATGTGTGTACAAAAATTCATATTGTATGTTGTATTCAATGAGGCTACCGTATGGTTTTGTGATATATGTCAATTACATCATTATTTTCACTCTTCTGAGATATTGGTCTAAACGTATAGCATTTCAGGCTTAGAATTAGGTCATTATTTTAAATCATTCCAATGCAATTTGTACTGATTTTGAGAGTGTGATGTGGTCATTGACCTGACCTACAGTATGTGGACTCATGACTAAACTGACACATTGTCCTTCCTCCTCTCTCTCTCCCTCCATCCCTCCCTCTCTTCTTCTCCTGTCGTGGCCCCGTGGTGGGGCGCTGGTGACCTTGAGTGAGTTATTTATAGCGTTGGTGGCGGCGGTGCAGACTGGGAGCAGGGTACCAGACGCTCCTCAGGGGAGACCGTACAGAAAGAGAGAGAGACAAAGAGAGAGATGGACCCTGACGAAGGTTCAAATCAAACCTCACTGAATAGGTTTCCTCAAGTGGATGGCAATCACGTCATCAATTAGCTGTTTTTGGTTAGACCTGGTGTAGGAAATAAGATGAATCCGATCTAATGAGTCAATCACCAGAATAGAAACAGTTAGCAGATCTAGCTCTAACATTGAGATAATGGGGAATCAAGTGCTCAAAACCCATCACTTGTTTTAGATCTGTAAACACAATCATACGATGGATGGTTTTATCATTAGATCTGATTCATCTGGATTAACTGAAACAATAGCCTGTTCACCATGAATTTCACATTTTCAAATATTGAAATCACATCTAATGATGAAACTATCCATTGGATGACTTCACGCTTTTTACCTACGATCAGTATTCCAAAGATCACCAAACACCAGTCACGTATTCATTTCAACACCTTTTATTTACATCTTCCCCAAATACAACTCAAATGCCATTTATGCTTCATCTGCTTCCATCACGTTTGCCTCTTGTCTTTAGTTCAGTCCATCATCATTTCCCCAGTCCACCTTCCCTCCACCCTGCCCCCTATCTCTGCCCCTCAGCTCCAGCCTCAGTCTACGGGCCCCTGAAAGATGAGTTTGATGTGGCCCTGCTCACCTGTCAGCCAGGTGCCGCAGAAGGGGCATGCGGCGTGGAAGGCGTGCGTTCCGTGCGGCAGCGGGATCTGGCTCCAGCCCGCCACTGTTTTTTCCGAGCACACGTGGCCGCAGGGGCAGAAGGCGTGCGTCGGTGGCCCTGCGTCCAGGTACAGCCCGCCCTCGCAGCCAAGCCACAGGGGCACGTAGGGACCCACGCACCGGCACATGGGGCACTCCCTCTCCCCGGTACTCGCCGGAGCCGTCCCCCCGGGGCCCACATTGTGGCCCTTGTCTTTCCGGTAGCCCCAGTTGTGGTAGCCGTGCACGTGACCACAGTTGACATAGACCCAGGGCTGCTTCTTGTCCACAATCTCTCGCTGGGCCAGGCTGGGGAAGGCCAGGGTGTTGAAACCCACAGGGCACTGGGGCCGGGCGGCATTCAGCTCCTGGCGGAGGGACTCCAGCTGCTTTAGGGTGGGGGTGCGGCGCAGGCCCGACGGGGTACGCCACAGGAGGGTGGCACCGCACAGGTCAATCAGAGAGCCATCCTGCAGGGTATTGGACTCGTTCTCCACCTGGAGGGTACAGACAATACTGTAACTGTCAAACTATAACTATTTGCATACATTGTTTCCTTTTTCTGTGCCTTTTAAACTTTTTCTTTCTGTTTCCCTTCCCTACGAACACTTGATGGCACTGTGATCATCCTACCCTGTCGCATACCATCATGAATTGAATCAAATGCTAACGATCGATTCACAAAATATCATTAATTAATTCACACCCAGTTGGGAAACTCTAAAGCTCATCAGACGTTTAGCCTGACTGTGGAGTCCTTGATATAACCCCTTAGACACACACACACACACACATATATATATATATACAGTGAGGGAAAAAAGTATTTGATCCCCTGCTGATTTTGTACGTTTGCCCGCTGACAAAGAAATGATCAGTCTATAATTTTAATGGTAGGTTTATTTGAACAGTGAGAGACAGAATAACAACAACAAAATCCAGAAAAACGCATGTCAAAAATATTATGAATTGATTTGCATTTTAATGAGGGAAATAAGTATTTGACCCCCTCTCAATCAGAAAGATTTCTGGCTCCCAGGTGTCTTTTATACAGGTATCAAGCTGAGATTAGGAGCACACTCTTAAAGGGAGTGCTCCTAATCTCAGTTTGTTACCTGTATAAAAGACACCTGTCCACAGAAGCAATCAATCAATCAGATTCCAAACTCTCCACCATGGCCAAGACCAAAGAGCTCTCCAAGGATGTCAGGGACAAGATTGTAGACCTACGCAAGGCTGGAATGGGCTACAAGACCATCGCCAAGCAGCTTGGTGAGAAGGTGACAACAGTTGGTGCGATTATTCGCAAATGGAAGAAACACAAAAGAACTGTCAATCTCCCTCGGCCTGGGGCTCCATGCAAGATCTCACCTCGTGGAGTTGCAATGATCATGAGAACAGTGAGGAATCAGCCCAGAACTACACGGGAGGATCTTGTCAATGATCTCAAGGCAGCTGGGACCATAGTCACCAAGAAAACAATTGGTAACACACTACGCCGTGAAGGACTGAAATCCTGCAGCGCCCGCAAGGTCCCCCTGCTCAAGAAAGCACATATACATGGCCGTTTGAAGTTTGCCAAAGAACATCTGAATGATTCAGAGGAGAACTGGGTGAAAGTGTTGTGGTCAGATGAGACCAAAATCGAGCTCTTTGGCATCAACTCAACTCGCCGTGTTTGGAGGAGGAGGAATGCTGCCTATGACCTCAAGAACACCATCCCCACCGTCAAACATGGAGGTGGAAACATTATGCTTTGGGGGTGTTTTTCTGCTAAGGGGACAGGACAACTTCACCGCATCGAAGGGACGATGGAACGGCGCCATGTACCGTCAAATCTTGGGTGAGAACCTCCTTCCCTCAGACAGGGCATTGAAAATGGATCGTGGATGGGTATTCCAGCATGACAATGACCCAAAACACACGGCCAAGGCAACAAAGGAGTGGCTCAAGAAGCAGCACATTAAGGTCCTGGAGTGGCCTAGCCACTTCACAAAATAGATAGCATTATGGAAGGAAAGAAAATTATGTGGATATATTGACGCAACATCTCAAGACATCAGTCAGGAAGTTAAAGCTTGGTCGCAAATGGATCTTCCAAATGGACAATGACCCCAAGCATACTTCCAAAGTTTTGGAAAAATGGCTTAAGGACAACAAAGTCAAGGTATTGGAGTGGCCATCACAAAGGCCTGACCTCAATCCTATAGAAAATGTGTGGGCAGAACTGAAAAAGCGTGTGCGAGCAAGGAGGCCTACAAACCTGACTCAGTTACACCAGCCCTGTCTGGAGGAATGGGCCAAAATTCCCCCAACTTATTGTGGGAAGCTTGTGGAAGGCTACCCGAAAGGTTTGACCCAAGTTAAACAATTTAAAGGCAATGCTACCAAATACTAATTGAGTGTATGTAAACGTCTGACCCACTGGGAATGTGATGAAATAAATAAAAGCTGAAATAAATCATTCTCTCTACTATTATTCTGACATTTCACATTCTTAAAATAAAGTGCTGATCCTAACTGACCGAAGACAGGGAATTTTTACTAGGATTAAATGTCAGGAATTGTGAACAACTGAGTTTAAATGTATTTGGCTAAGATGTAAACTTCCGACTTCAACTGCATATATACACGTGGTCCTCTGTAGCTCAGCTGGTAGAGCATGGCGCTTGTAACGCCAAGGTAGTGGGTTCGATCCCCGGGACCACCCATACACAAAAATGTATGCACGCATGACTGTAAGTCGCTTTGGATAAAAGCGTCTGCTAAATGGCATATTATTATTATTATTATTATATACACACATGTGATAGCCTTGATAATGAGACAGGTTTGAGGCTTGAGGTTTCCTTTATCAATTATTTTACTCATAAAATATCATCAATTATCTCATCATTCATAGTTGGATAGTCTAATCTCAGTGTCCTTCAGATACTTCCAGACATAACAGCAGTCCTGATAACCAGACAGGTATCAGGCTTTATTTCCCATGTCTCCCCCATCCTCCTCCCCCCTGTGGCTTGCCACTGATGACCCCCCCCCCTCACCAATTTTCCCCTCTGCTGGGCAGAGCGCGTCTCCCGCAGGGCGAAGACGTTCCCGCACACCGAGATCTCCCGCCACACTCCCGGCGCTGGCTCCGACACAAACTCCCCCGCCGGGTGCATCACCAGCACACCATTGGTGGTCAGGCCGTCCATCAAGCCGTCTGACGTTCGCCATTTGGCAGCCCGCTCCTGAGAGACCCGCACACAAACAGACAGACAGAGAGCCAAGGTGAGGGATAGTGATGGATAAAAGCAGAGAAAGATAAAAAGAGAGAAGGGGGTAGAAGGAGAGGAAGAGGAGTTAGAAAGAGAGAGAAAGAGATGGGTGGGGGAGAGAGAGAGAGAGAAAGAGAGGGAGGGAGGGAGGGTGGGGGAAAGAGAGAGAGTGAGAGAGAGAAAAATAAACAGCTAACATTGCTTTTCTGCACTGCTATATTTAGACCAGAGTAGGACTACTATACTGACTAACACACAGAGATGCACACACACACACATAAACATTGCAGGGCATTCAGTCCCTGCAGTGGCAGTGTTATGATATTTTCTTTCAGTGGGCATATAATTAAAAGCAGGCATGACTACAAGCTATTCAACCAGTGTTATTGTATAAGCCTTTCAGAACATTTATGTCCTAATATTTTGAACAAACTATCTTTCTCCATCCCTCTCTCTCTCCTCTCTCTCTCTCTCTCTCTCTCTCCCCCTCTCTCTCTCATCTCCCTCTCTCTCTCATCTCTCTCCATCCTCTCTCTCTCTCTCTCTCTCTCCTCTCTCTCTCGCTTCTCTCTCTACTTCTCTCTCCCTCTCCTCTCTCTCCGCTCTCTCTCTCTCCTCTCCTCTCCCCATCCCTCTCTCTATCTCCCTCTCTCCATCCCTCTCTCTCCCTCTCTCCATCCCTCTCTCTCTCTCTCTCCACCTCCACAGTAGCAGTGGGTCGAGCTGCCTGCCTGACTCCGCTATCTGCCAAGGACATTGTGTGTGTGCCAGTTATAGAGGAGGGAGCCGTGCTGAGGTTATTCAGCCTTCGCTTCATTGACAGCAGCTAGCAGCTCTTAAGCTATTGAGGGCTCTAAGGTTTCTCTCCTGTATTTTTTGCATAGCCGCTCACCGACCACATGCTACGATGCTAAGATGAATTATACAAGTCTCTGTGGTGGGGTTAGGTTAGTCATCCGGATGTTATGTCATGATGATGTCACGACGTGGTCACATTGTCCTATTCGTTTGTCTTTTAGTGTCACAAGGTTGCATGTGATGTCATGCTATAATTGACATCAATGCCATCATTTTGTTGTATATCTGTAGTCAACAAAACCATTTTCAGAATAAACGCTTCTTTCTTGTGTGATATTCACTAAAGCATATGTAAGTATATCATACCGGCGTATGGTATATGAACTATCCTGTCATTGCCATTGATCACTGTTGGCACACGACACACATTGACCGGTCAATCGTTTCAAAAACATTACAACCTTCTTTAATCCAATCCAATATGGCCGCCCTTCCTGCCCCTCATAATCAAATGCTAGTGGAGGTCAGTGGCAGACTGGCGGTGTGGCAGTACAGTGTGTCTGACTCGGACCCTGGGGCCGACTCCCATCGATGGAGATGAGTACAGCTGGACTCCTGCCTCCAATATCTTCCACAATGACACTCCCTCCCTCACGCTCTCCCTTCATCCCCACCCACGGCCTCCCCATCGCTCCCCTGCCAACTCTCTCTCTCTCTCCATTTACACTCCAAGTTCATCTCGCAGAACCCCTTCGATAACTCATTCCCTGTATGGGCGAGGGGGATGGGGGAAGGAAGGGAGAAGGTGGAACTGAGTGCCTCTGCCAGAATGGATAAAACGCAAGCAACCCCCCTCTCCTTCACTGCACTGGACCACTGCACTGTGATTTTATGGCAGTCTATTGTTGTGTTTGCTGATTGGAGTGGTTTTCAGCAAACAAACACTCACACTCCCATGCACAAGCGCGGGCAAGCACACACACACACACACAGATACAGACAGAAGTGTTTGCTGGCTGAAAAAAATCGATACAGTTACGTATCGGGATATTATTTTTAACGATATAGTGTATCGTATCGTTTTGACAATATCGCAATATTATTTTTGCACTAATTGGCTGTACCGGCAACAAAACTCCAGTATTTTTCCTTCATATCATTCAGATGTTCATTGGCAAACTTCAGACGGCCCTGTATATGTGCTTTCTTGAGCAGGGGGACCTTGCAGGCGCTGCAGGATTTCAGTCTTTCACGGCGTAGTGTGTTACCAATTGTTTTCTTGGTGACTATGGTCCCAGCTGCCTTGAGATCATTGACAAGATCCTCCCGTGTAGTTCTGGGCTGATTCCTCACTGTTCTCATGATCATTGCAACTCCACGAGGTGAGATCTTGCATGGAGCCCCAGGCCGAGGGAGATTGACAAGTCTTTTGTGTTTCTTCCATTTGTGAGTAATCGCACCAACTGTTGTCACCTTCTCACCAAGCTGCTTGGCGATGGTCTTGTAGCCCATTCCAGCCTTGTGTAGGTCTACAATCTTGTCCCTGACATCCTTGGAGAGCTCTTTGGTCTTGGCCATGGTGGAGAGTTTGGAATCTGATTGATTGATTGCTTCTGTGGACAGGTGTCTTTTATACAGGTAACAAGCTGAGATTAGGAGCACTCCCTTTAAGAGTGTGCTACTAATCTCAGCTCGTTACCTGTATAAAAGACACCTGGGAGCCAGAAATCTTTCTGATTGAGAGGGGGTCAAATACTTATTTCCCTCATTAAAATGCAAATCAATTTATAACATTTTTGACATGCGTTTTTCTGGATTTTGTTGTTGTTATTCTGTCTCTCACTGTTCAAATAAACCTACCATTAAAATTATAGACTGATCATTTCTTTGTCAGTGGGCAAACATACAAAATCAGCAGGGGATCAAATACTTTTTTCCCTCACTGTATATAGAATCGTGAAAATCGTGAGCATCACAATACATATCGTATCGGCACTAAGTATTGTGATACTATTGTATAGTGAGGTCCCTGGCAATTCCCAACCCTAACACACACATCACCCACATACAGTAAGTAGTTTATTGGGGTATCTGTACTTTACTATTTATATTTTTTACTACTTTTTACTCCACTATATTCCTAAAGACGATATGTACCTTTTTACTCCCAAACATTTTCCCTGACACTCAAAAGTACTTGTTACATTTCGAATGCTCAGGAAGGACAGCAATATTGACCAATTCACACACCTATCAATATAACGGGTTGTCATCCCTACTGCCTCTGATCTGGCAGACTCACTAAACACAAATACTGCGTTTGTAATGATGTCTGAGTGTTGGTGTGTGCCCCTGGCTGTCCTTAAAATTAAGAAAATTGTGCCGTCTGGTTTTCTCAATATAAGGAATTTTATGTATAGCATTTACTTTTACTTTTTACTTTTATTCATGTATGACAATTTAGTACTTTTTACACCACTGTACTTAAGTACATTTAAAACCAGATACTTTTAGACTTTTACTCAAGTATTATTTTACTGGTTGACTTTCACTTTTACTTGACTCATTTTCTATTAAGGAATTTTTACTTTTACTCAAGTATGACAATTGAGTACTTTTCCCTTCACTGCACACATATCAATTTAATCACGGCTCCTTGATTCCCATAATTCCCATTTCTCTGCAGTTTGTGCGAATGTGTCTGTGTATAGAATCTAACAATGCTGTCATAAATCCAATCCATTAAAAGAGCCGTGGCCCTCAGAGCCTGAAAACAAATGCGGCCGTCCCGTACGTGTGTCTACTGATATTTACCATAGATGATCTAATCTCTAAACAAAGTGCGGCCTGGGCTGTTTTTGTGGCTGGGCGCTGGGCCAACCAGCCAATGAGAGGCCATAACACTAAGGCGAAGAAGACGCACCAGAGGAGTGTGTGTGTGTCTCTGTGTGTGTGCGCATAGGATGGGGACAAGAGATTACTAATTTGTTTGTCCAGTACAAAAGGCTAATTTGTGTATGAATATACACCTAGAAAAAACATTGCCCAAGAAGCAGGCCACATGTCGAACATTCACACACCCACTAACAAGTCCTACACCACCACACCACCATTTCCTCCCTCCCTGACTTCAATCAATCTCTACAGTATATCACACATGGTGACGCTCATCACCATGACGACATCATCGGGGTGTGATGTTGCCAATGCTGTCCCTCACACTGTGGTCATCACCGCAACTCACCCCCAGGAAGATGTTTTTGGAGGAGTCGAAGCCGGCGGCGTAGATGCGGGCCGTGTAAGGAGCGCTGCGCTCGCACATTATGCGGCACGCGTAGCGGGAGATCGTGCTCTGGGCCGACTGCCCCCCTCCTCCTCCGCCCCCTTCGCCCGCAGCCCCCTGGACCTGCCACCCACCGCCACCACCACTGGTGCTGCTGCCCGCTGTGTCCGTCACCACAAAGTCAATCATGCTCTCTGTAGAACGCCCAATCTGTAGCGAGAGGTAGGACATAGGAGATAGGGGGAGACTCATGGTTAATAGAATAAAGTACAGTAGAATTGAGTAGAATCGTGTGGAGTAGAATAGAATAGAACAGAATATAATATAATATATGAGTGGAAATATGTATTTGGGGAGGAGGAAGGTAGAAAGACTCAATTCCATTTAAATCACACTGAAGTCAGGATATCGTCTGGAGCGTTGTGGACAAATGCCCACAACATACCAATAAACAAGTTTTGTTTCCTCCCAGGCTGCCAGGAATGGCAGCCTCATCACAGCCCCTGGTTGGAGAGAGAGCAGACAGATGAACAGATGGGACTGTAGCCCTGGAGCCTCACAGCCCTGGAGCCAGCAGCACCTCAGATCCATTCTGTCTGCAGGAGTTTGGACTCCACATTCAACACTGGGATGAGAGATAGATAGCTAGAGCAGTCTGTTGCTGTCTGAAAGGAGAGGAGAGGGGGAGTCTGCTATCTAACACACAGGAAATAAACCATCTCTTCTCTTCTCTCCTATTCTGACTGTGTGTGTGCCAAATCCCTATGGGCCCTGGTCATATGTAGAGCACTAAATAGGAAATGTCATTTTGGATGCACATACTCTGTTCTCAGTTTCTAGGTCATTGTTGTGCTGAAGTGTTGGGGCTCCGGCTGACTTGGCATGTCATGTGTAGGTAATGTAAAAGATGACTCACCTGAAACATATCTGTGTTGGTGTCATGGGTGTACTCTACGATGACCGAGTGACTCCTGGACAGGGTGTAGGAGATGCTGTGCTGGCTTTTGTTGCTGAGGGCCTGTCGATGCAGAACACAGGAACACATATACAGGAAGCAGGTCATATAGCCAGCTACTCAGGAAAGGGCATCCCAAAAGTTTTGCCTGCTTGAAAATGTATTAGTACCATATGTGGTAAGCGTTTATATAAACGTAGTTGTACATCCAGTATGTACTATTCATTCCTGCATTCATAAACATTTATAGAGTTAATGAGTAAACATTTATATAGTTATTCAATAGTGTTTAATACTGTGAAAGACTGTCTAAATCTAATGTGACCTCTCACCTTTGACACCAGAGGGGTGGAGACATTGTGGATGACGTCAGGTTTGACCCCGTTGGCTTTGGGTCTCTTGTAGAGGGCCAGGCGACTTCTCCTTCGCCCCTTATCCCCAATGACCAAGGAACCATTGTGCCTGAGTACAGTATGGGCCATAATATAAAACACAAATATACATTTGTATTAGTTGGAGCCTATCTTTCCCATTCAGTTGGGATTGAGGCTTGCATGTATTATCCTAATACATATAGTTGGATCTACACAACAAATTAGTTTGAATGTGAACTCTTTAGACTACAACTTTAGACTACCTTATAGGTATGAACACGTGACAAACTTTGGGGTGAAGTATTCCTTTAAAACTGGACCAAATTGCTTGAATCTCAATAAAACATAATTTGGTTCTGAGGGGAATATTCCTTATATGGGTTAGTCTGTCTGTGTTCTATTACCTGCCCATGTCATGATTGGATAGGGCTCATAAAATGTCTGCAGCTGGCAATACACTCCCTCTTAATAAAATCCATTGAAAATTAAGCCTTTCTCATAATCCATAATAATCACAATCCATCACTGTATGAATCAATGGTGTAAGCAGTGAGTAAGATATATCTGTCTCTCTGAGTACATGTATGGACACGACTGAGATGACTGTAGGAAGAGGAGAGAGAGCTGAGGAGAGAGCGGGGGGAGAGAGAGAGCAGGGGGGGCGGGGAGAGAGAGAGAGAGGAGAAGAGAGAGACGAGAGAGAGGAGAGAGAGAGGAAAGACAGAGAGGAGAGAGAGAGAGGAGAAGAAAGAGATGAGAGAAGGAGAGAAGAGAGAAAGAGAGAGAGAGAGAGACAGAGAGAAGAGAGAAAGAGAGAGAGAGAGAGAGAGAGAGAGAGGGAGGAGAGAGAGAGAGAGAGAGAAGAGAAGGAGAGAGAGAGAGAGTACGAGAAGCAGAGAAAAGATAGAGAGAGACAGAGCGCATAGACTCTCACTCTATCTCTCGATCAGCATCTATCATCTCCTCTCTCTCTCCTCTCTCTCTCTCTCTCTCTCTCTCCTCTCTCTCTCTCTCTTCCTCACTGGTGGCAGTTAAGGGTGTAATTTGCCTATTCTGCCGCAAGACTCTGTGTCTGAATGGCATCTTTGTAAGGGAGTCAAATCAGCTCTTTTTTACGAGCAGCTGAAACGGAAAGAAAGATAGCTACTATGTGTGTCTAGGAGATGCAAGGGCTAGTCTTTCTGGCTTCGTAAAGAAGGTAGGAAGGGGGGTTTCTTCTAACTGACAAGGAGAAAAGCCTTGTTTAAGGTACATTAGATTGCTTAAGAGTGTACACACAACCACTGAGACTTAAAAGCCCATATAAAGAAGGTTTCTTAAGGGCATGGTGTTTATAACACGGGATGGGATGAATGGTATGGCCAACTGTTGTACGTATTAACCACTGTTGAAGACACATAAGCAAACACGCACACACAACCCCCACCCACCCCCTACCTCTCCACCACACACACCAGAGGGACAGGTAACCCACCCTAAGACGATGAGCTCCCCGTACTTGACGGGCTCCTTGTCCCCGGGGAAGAGTCCGTCGTGGGGCGTGGAGCATGAGCCCAGGGGAGGCAAGGGCTGGCTTTTGTTGCAGGACGGGCGCAGCTCCAGTGAGGGCGGGGGACACAGGGCCTCCGAGCTACCCTCCAAAACCATGCCCACCGGCCACAACGTGGGCTCACAGCTGGGAGGGAGAGAAGGGGGAGTGGGAGAAGGGGGAGGGGGAGAGCGAGAGAGACAGAAAGAGATATAAGAGACATTCAAGACAATCAGTGAACCAAGAAAAGGATACAGCTGTAGGCTCATCAGCATATCAAAGAGTTCAATATTCAAATATACATGACCTGTAAACTTCTTTCCCCCCTGCCCTCTTTTGAATGGGGACAATGTCATGAAAAGTCTCTATTCATTTCAAATCACTGGCATGAAGGGAAATGTCAGTTATTCCTAATCATGCAAAGTACCCTCTATGACATGACAGCTTGTCAAGTCAGAAAAACAACTAAATTCATCTTAGCATCCATTTGTGTTTGATAATTACTGGATCAAGCCCCCTGCATCTAAAATAGCTAACAAATGAAATATAGGCGTAATCAATGTAATGTGGCCCTCAACAAAGACGCAGCATTTGTGGTCCGACTCAGACAGTCGTCATGATGCTGTCACTATACTTGGAAGCCTAATTGTCATTCTGCATTATGTGACAAAACAGAAGTATTCTCTCTTCTTTGCTGACTTGGTGCATTTAGAGAGTGTGTGTGTGTGTGTGTGTGCGTGCAAGCCTGTGTGTGTGTGTGCACGACAGGCAAAACTAATAGGACTAGATGGGTACAACTGAGCCAACCATTTTCACACAGGCAGTTAAACGCCTAAATCTACAGCCTCAGCTTGTACCGCATTGTGTCTCTGTCTGACATATCCTACCATTGTTAAATGAACTCAAGTTCAATGGCCATTGGCAAGTGTTACTATAGTCCTTTGTAGGGCCAAGAACCACTCAAAACAAGAGAACATGTTTCCCAAAGCTTTTAAAGTTAACAACCAGATAACCATCAATCGACGTTCTGTCGTGTCCGAGATTCTTAACAAACCCTGTGAGAGCTGCAACCTTTCCCTGGGTTTGACATGATTGGTTTTCATTTTTTACTAAAGGTTTATGGCTGCCTGGCTGGTTGTGGCATTTCAATGGTTTGATTGGGGGCACTGTCAAATTAAAACAAGCACTTGGCATTAAAAGAATTGGACTAAAAATACATTTTTATGATAGTCTAATGCAATTGTATAATACCACAGGGTTACATTTTAGTGGCGCTTTACAGAAACAAGCATCATATTACATGAATTATGAATAAAGGAACGATGATTACATCCTCAAACAAGTGGGTGTACATATACAGTAAAATGACTCACAATATTTACATTTAGATCCTTTGCCATTTGCAAATGAGCACAAGTAAAACAAATCTCTACATTCCCTATCTGTGTTGGCAATGAGGCGAACAGAGGTTCTATGCCAATGTTGATTATAAATACCCTATTATTGATCAAAAGTGGGCGAGACCACCTACACCACGAATCCAATGAAGCCAGTGACATCACACAGCCAGCCATAATAGACCAATGCCTTGTTGACTATTTATGAATCATGAATATGGCATACCTACACCACAACAAAAAGCATAATGTTATGGTTATAAACAGACTGGAATTCCAACTCTGCTATATGTTCTCTTCCCCCAGAAGTACAAATTATGTCTGATCATAGAATTAGATTTACTGGAACTGACATTCCCATTCTATTTCTATGTGTCTGATATCCTATATAATCTTGAGTTTGTGCATTCAAACCTCAAAGCCCCATCCCTCAAAATGAACGGCCAGACCAGACAAAGAGCATGGGGACCACAGCTGTTCCGGCGAGTTGTCAATTGCATCACGACGTGAACATTAGACTTTATTCAATATAAACACGTCTAATCGGAGGCCAACACAGTGAACATCCCCTCGTAATGAGATGATGGATGACAGAGAGCAGATTTAGGCAGGCGGTTGCCATTTCATTACGGCTCTCCATTGCTATGTCTGGGAGATGGAGTGTTAGAGGAGGGGGATGGAGAGAGAGAACGGACACAGGGGAGGTAGAAAGGGAGTGAAAGAAAGAGGGAGGGGAGGGGTTGAATAGGGAGAGGAGGATGAGACTGAAATAGAAAAACCATGGCGACATGGGTGGATGGCTGGATGGATGGATGAGGAGGATTGGGAGAGAGGTGAAGAGAGACAGAGGTAGAGACACAAGATACCTTGCACTGACGTGTACAAGCACAGACAGACATAAAGCATGATGGGAAAAAATGGGAAACCAGAGATGGACAATGTGAATAGGAGGGATGGAGGCAGACAGACGACGGGACTGAGAGAGGGGACACAGTTTACGGTGTGTGGGGGGCGTGTGCGCGTGAGACAGCGTGTGTGCGCATGCTCGCCGGTGCAGGGGGTTCGGCAGGGTGATGGATTACCTGTTCTCTGCCACGCACTTTCTAATCAACCTACCGCCACAACCTGGGAGTGGAGAGAGAGAGAGACATAGAGAGAGGGAGAGGGAGAGAGGTAGAGGGTGGGAGGGGGTTATGAGAGAAAGAGACAGAGGGGGGGAGAGAAACAAAGAAAAGCTGTGTGACAAAGGAAGACAAAGGGAAAGGGAATAATAGAGAGAGAGAGAAAGAGAGAAATGCAGTCCATTGTAAAAGACTGGGATGGTGGGGGTGGTAGCTATAGGGACTAGAAAGGAATAACAACCACTGATAATACACAGGTCAACAGACACAAAGGAGAACATAGCGACATGTTTCACGGTTTCCATTGCAGTTATTACACAGGGGATCACAACGTTATCTAACGTTTATTATATTCTCTTTGGTTGGTTTTATTAAGAACATCCTTCAACCTTAACTCCCCCTCTTCTGGCTCTCTAAATGTCTCCCTCCCTCCTCTTCTTCACCACAATTCACCCACAATTCTCTCTCCTCCTACTGCAGGGGAAGGGTGAGTGTGTGTGGGTGAGGAGAGAGAGAGAGAGAGAGAGAGAGAGAGAGAGAGAGAGAGAGAGAGAGAGAGAGAGAGAGAGAGAGAGAGAGAGAGAGGAGAGAGAGAGAGAGAGAGAGAGAAGGGAAAATGAGAGAGGAGTGAAATGGAGGGGTGAAGCTCTTCCATCTCCATCCAGTAACAAATGAACAGAGAGCTAAATATACACACCAGGAAATGATCTCAGGAATAAATTATGAATTCCTGACAACATTGATCACATTTGACTCCTTTCCAGACATTTTTTACATGTATTTTTTATTTTCTACCATATCTGGAGAAATGGAGCCACTATCATATCAGTAGTATAAGATTATAGAGGTGACAATTTCTGTTCAGTTATGGTATGTGGTTTAACATTCGTAGCAGTGGTGCTACTGTTTGCACAATAGTGCCACTATCATTGCTTGTAGTAGGGTTATTACTACATTCTTAGAAAAAAGGGTTCGAAAAGGGTTCTGCGGCTTGCCCCATAGGAAAAACCAAAAGGGTTCTACCTGAAACCAAAAGAGTTCTACCTGGAACTAAAAGGGGTTATTCAACGGGTTCTCCTAGGGGGACAGCCGAATAACCCTTTTTGGTTCTAGATAGCACCTTTTCTTCTAAGAGTGTACTGCAGTGAATTCCAGGTTATTGCCTAGTGACAGCATCTCCCTGATGCTGGATATCACTGTGAATACATTTGTGCTGCAAATGACCGTACTGTCATGGTATCTGTGATACCATCTCCAACATGTTATCTTGGTATGCAATACGACAAAAACATGGCAATGAGGGACTTAGATTTAGCACCTTGCTAAGAAAAGCAAGATGTTTGGCATGAGATAAACTGAGATTTACCGTAAATCTACTGTACCGGCATGTTTAAATTCATACCACCACCTCGATTCCAGTCCATGTCCAATGCTAGCTGATAGAGGCTATCTAGCCTACACAGTATGCACAGGTACATAAGGACATACTACACTGTCGGCACAACCAGCGTTATTGCATTGATTGCCATTCAACGGTCAGTCATGGTCTATGGTGGCCAAGGTGTCACCTGTTATCAAAGCAGACACAAAGCCTGATAGTACTGGTGTTGTGTACTAATGGGCCGGACTGAGAATGTCTGTGACCGGCCGGTGCTGTGCAGTGGGTGCTATGATGCCTTTAGTGAAGAGGGAACAACATTACCACCTCAGAGACGTGTGTGCGTGTGTTCTCTTGCTTTCCAACAAACTTCAAGAGGGTTCCACCTTAATCAGGTTGGGAAAATCACTCAAACAATGTTCTACACTAGGAGACAAATATTCTGAGTAAAGAAATCCTAATTTCACATCAAGCTGACACACAGGCTCAATAGAGTGCTTAGTCAAACTCTGAGACGACAACCACAACATAATCCATTACCAGGTTCAACCATCCATCCCATACTACATCTTAGTCCAAGTTTTATCTGTATGTTCTCGGAAAGGGGCCCTTGTTTCCATTAACATTTACATAATTTAGCAGACGCTCTTATCCAGAGCCACTTGTTCAGTGACAACACATTGTATTCCCCCAGAGTCACATTGGGGTCTCTGTCAGGTGTTATTTAAATTTTTTGGTCATCGATTTTTGGTTCCAAGCACCCTTTTTACTTTAAGAAGATTCAGAGTTGAGGACGTTCTTTTCCTTTACTGAGACTACTCTTTGTCAGGTTCAAATGGGTTCATATCTCAATAGTTAAAATGCCGGGTTAATATACAAATATCTCAATGTTTCAAATGGGTTCGGCCTACACTTGGCCTAAGGATCCCTTTAAGACTTCATAGTATTTTGCCGGTAAGTATACGTTTTTATGTAATCTCTCTGTGTTATTGCCACCGCCACCTACCTGCTTGACCCCTCTGGCTTTACAAGAAGACACACAGGTGGGCCGCTCTGCTACCTCATCACCTCTCGCCCTGTACCACACACACTCTGACTCACCATCTCTCTCTCTCTCTCTCTCTCTCTCTCTCTCTCTCTCTCTCTCTCTTTTTCTCCTTTCCTCTTTCTCTCTCTCTATTTCTCACCCTCTCACTATACCTCTCTCCTCTCTCCCCCGTCACTCATTCTCACTGTCCCTCCCTCCCTCCCTCCCTCCCTCCCTCCCTCCCTCCCTCTCTCTCTCGCTCTCTCTTTCTCCCCAGTGTCACAGCAGACAACCAGCTAGCGGACTGCCTGTATGAGTAAACATCAGTCAAGCAGGATTCATCTGTGCGACTGTAGACACTAGTCTATTTAACAAGACTGTGAAGCACGCATTTTGAATGGGATTCTGTTTAAGTGCGAGGAACTTACTCATTATGATTGTCTGTATTTACTCTTTGAAGTTGTAAACAGTATTAATGAAGTTGTGTATTTACCCTATAGGGGGAAGAGGAAGAAAAGGAGGAGGAAACTGGGGTGGGAAAAAGATACAGTGAGGGAAAAAAGTATTTGATCCCCTGCTGATTTTGTACGTTTGCCCACTGACAAAGAAATGATCAGTCTATCATTTTAATGGTAGGTTTATTTGAACAGTGAGAGACAGAATAACAACAACAAAATCCAGAAAAAACGCATGTCAAAAATGTTATAAATTGATTTGCATTTTAATGAGGGAAATAAGTATTTGACCCCCTCTAAATCAGAAAGATTTCTGGCTCCCAGGTGTCTTTTATACAGGTAACGAGCTGAGATTAGGAGCACACTCTTAAAGGGAGTGCTCCTAATCTCAGTTTGTTACCTGTATAAAAGACACCTGTCCACAGAAGCAATCAATCAATCAGAATCCAAACTCTCCACCATGGCCAAGACCAAAGAGCTCTCCAAGGATGTCAGGGACAAGATTGTAGACCTACACAAGGCTGGAATGGGCTACAAGACCATCGCCAAGCAGCTTGGTGAGAAGGTGACAACAGTTGGTGCGATTATTCGCAAATGGAAGAAACACAACAGAACTATCAATCTCCCTCGGCATGGGGCTCCATGCAAGATCTCACCTCGTGGAGTTGCAATGATCATGAGAACGGTGACGAATCAGAACTACACGGGAGGATCTTGTCAATGATCTCAAGGCAGCTGGGACCATAGTCACCAAGAAAACAATTGGTAACACACTATGCCGTGAAGGACTGAAATCCTGCAGCGTATGCAAGGTCCCCCTGCTCAAGAAAGCACATATACAGGCCCGTCTGAAGTTTGCCAATGAACATCTGAATGATTCAGAGGAGAACTGGGTGAAAGTGTTGTGGTCAGATGAGACCAAAATCGAGCTCTTTGGCATCAACTCAACTCGCCGTGTTTGGAGGAGGAGGAATGCTGCCTATGACCCCAAGAACACCATCCCCACCGTCAAACATGGAGGTGGAAACATTATGCTTTGGGGGTGTTTTTCTGCTAAGGGGACAGGACAACTTCACCGCATCAAATCTTGGGTGAGAACCTCCTTCCCTCAGCCAGGGCATTGAAAATGGGTCGTGGATGGGTATTCCAGCATGACAATGACCCAAAACACACGGCCAAGGCAACAAAGGAGTGGCTCAAGAAGAAGCACATTAAGGTCCTGGAGTGGCCTAGCCAGTCTCCAGACCTTAATCCCATAGAAATCTGTGGAGGGAGCTGAAGGTTCGAGTTGCCAAACGTCAGCCTCAAAACCTTAATGACTTGGAGAAGATCTGCAAAGAGGTGTGGGACAAAATCCCTCCTAAGATGTGTGCAAACCTGGTGGCCAACTACAAGAAACGTCTGACCTCTGTTATGCCAACAAGGGTTTTGCTACCAAGTACTAAGTCATGTTTTGCAGAGGGGTCAAATACTTATTTCCCTCATTAAAATGCAAATCAATCTATAACATTTTTGACATGCGTTTTTCTGGATTTTGTTGTTGTTATTCTGTCTCTCACTGTTCAAATAAACCTACCATTAAAATGATAGACTGATCATGTCTTTGTCAGTGGGCAAACGTACAAAATCAGCAGGGGATCAAATACTTTTTTCCCTCACTGTAAACAAAACAGACAGATTCCCAGTAGGCTCTAGCGAGAACACAGGAGGAGAACAGCAAGGCCTCTTTAACAAGCACAGCAAGACCACAGCAAGACTACAGTCCATGATGGGGAATAGGAGACTGGTTATGGAACACACAAATTGAGAATGAGATGCTCCAAACCTGTTGTTTGTGTGTAGGCTGTGTGTGTGTGTGTTGGTGTGTGTGTGGTGTGTGTGTGTGTGTGTGTTTGTGTGTGGTGTGTGTGTGTGTGTCTGTCCATAATGTCTACTGTATACACACCATCATCTACATATATTTATATTCCAGACTCTGACATTGCTCGTTCTAATATTTTTATATTTCTTAATTCCTTTCTTTGTATTATTTTGTATTGTTCGGTAGGCTATTACTGCACTGTTGGAGCTAGGAACCAAAGCATTTCACTACACCCGCGATAACATCTGCAAAATATGTGTACGCGACCAATAACATTGGATTTGATTTGTGTGTGTGTGTGTGTGTGTGTGAGAGTGGGTGTGTGTGTGTGTTTGTTTGCGTGTGTGTTATACTGTGCACATAATACACTATATGGCAAATTAACACAGATTTATTAGACTGGGACCTTTGTTTATCTTTTAAGTTTATAGTAAGACGTACCTATCTATACAGCTTATTTTATCTTTAAAAAGTATATATATTTTTTTGTGTGTCAATAATATTTATACACTTCTAGGTTACACAATGTGTACTTGTACTCCAAAGTATGAGGGAGTTATGAGCCATCTTGGTCCCCATTATCA